TATCTGAATGAGCGATAGAACATGGGATACTTCGTTAAAAAAAATACAGATTATGATATCTTTGTCAAACATATTCCATATTTTATTGTACATCGAATAGATCAGTTAAAGTGAAGAAGATATACTAAGTGACATATAAATCCGAACACCCAGTTTAAATGGTTTTATTTTAATAAAATTTTGTATAAGTACTTAATGAAGCATAATAAGTAAATGATAAAAATTTCAAAATGATTGCACTGCTTTAAAGCCCTTTGACCTTTAATAATGTGTGGATGCACCCTGATGTGCTACGCATTCTCCAACGCGCCTAGGGATGCTTCTGACCAGGTGGTCAATGTCCTCCTGTGGTATCTCATTCCAGGCAACCACCAAGTCCTCTCGAAGTGCTTCTAGAGTCTGAGGAGGACGTTGCAAATTGAGCAATCTCCTACTCATCATATCCCACACGTGCTCAATTGGGGATAAGTCGGGAGATCTTGGTGGCCATGGTAACAATGTGACATCATTATGTTGAAAGAAGTCTATTGTGACTCTTGCAACATGTGGTCGGGCATTATCTTGTTGGAAAGTTGGATCTGCCAGGGTGTCAAGATAGGGTAAAAGATGGGGTTCTAGAACTTCGTGAATATAACGCTGCGCGTTCATGCCACCTCTGATGAAGATTAAAGGTGACCTGGAACCATAAGCTATAGCACCCCAAACCATAACTCCAACAGTGTGATGAACATGTCTTTCAACAAAAAACTGTGGATTCCTCCTTTCACCACGTCGTCTTCTAACCCTGGCACGACCATCGTGCATGCCTAAACAAAATCGAGACTCGTCACTAAAGACAATACTGTTCCATTCCTGATCCCAGAGTGACCGTTGTCTGCACCACTCAAGGCGATTACGTCGGTGTTCTCGAGTTAAAGGGAGGACCCAGTGTGGCCGGTATGAAAACAAGCCAAAACTTCTCATTCGTCGGTAAATACTTCGCATGCCAATAGGTCTTCCGTGTTCTGCAAACCATTCATTTGCAATGGACCTGGTAGTGGAGAAAAGGTCCCTTAAGGCCAATAATCTTAGGCGGCGATCTTCACGGTCTGTTGTTCTACGGCGGCGTCCAGTGCCCCTTGCTCTTTGCGTACGGCCTTCTCGAAGCCATGCCTGACAACACCTAACCACAGTGTCTACACTTCTTTGCACTCTAACTGCAATTGCCCGAAAAGAAAGTCCAGCTTCCCGAAGTCCCACTATACGGCCCCTATCAGACTCACTAAGTTGACGAAATCGTACAGGTCTCCGTACTCTAGGCATCGTAACCGATCGTGAAGGATGTCAAGAACCAAAATCCGCCAACGTTGATTCTTTACTGCGGCTGAATTATTCATTTTTAGAGCATTAGTGAATTAAAAAAAAAACAGTATAGAAACCGTAATGTCCAACTGATAAGGCTGAAATTTTTTTCACTTGTTATTTACAGTAAGATAAATACATTCACCAACTTTTATTAAAATAAAACCATTTAAACTGGGTGTTCGGATGTACGTAATATGTCACTTAGTATACATTGTTGACTGTTGAGTTATGAGCGATTCAACGCACAAAAACGCTTCAACGGAAATAAGTGACAACACCGACAACTGCCACCTAAAAATAGTTTGCCAAAGCTTGATACATCTTCAGCCGATACGCTAATAATGACTATAGTCAACGCCAAACAAAGTGGCGTGCACGTCATCAAGGTGGGTGTGTTGAAAAATTTACATTGTTGCCAAACTTTTTGTAAAATAATAAAATTTATTATTTACATATCTAGGTTTATAAGCAATATTAACCTCAAATGAGAACAAAAATAATAGTATAATAAAATTATAGATCTGTACTTGCATAATCATTAAGTATGACAATTATTGATCAGATGACACTATGAAACTACCATATTTAATTGATAGCTTAAAGGTACTGAATAAAAATCCAAATGGGGTCCTCCAAATTTTATGCATGGTATTTATTTTACAGAATTCATACAGAAAAATGCATTCTAAAATTAGGTAAGCTACTGGTGTAAGCTTTTTCTGTACAATAAAGTTAGTCGGAGTTTCTTTCTTCAGCGCTGTCTGAATCTGAATCTTCATCACTCTCAAAGTTGTTTATTAAAGGTTCGATGTCTGGTCGATCAAAAATTCGTTCTCTTTCATACCATTTAAAAATTTCTTGCTCAGTATGTCGAACACTATTTTTCCACATGTCTGGGGTAACCGTTTGTAGAGCCTCGTTCCACATATCCAAACAGTCTTTTTCACTGTTACCATCTCTACCAATATGTCTGTTATAGTAACCTTTTGCTGTGCCCCAAATTAACTCAATAGGGTTAAATATACAATGGTAAGGAGGCAGACGAAGAACTTTGTGCCCATGTTGTTCCGCCAATTCATCAATCACGTATATTTTAGGTGGTTTCCCACTTTCTTGCTCAAAGTAGTGCATTAACGAGGCCACGAGTTCCTTACACCGACTATTTAACTGTTTGGGCATCTTTATATACCAAAATTGCCTTTATCTACTCGTAAAATGAATAATTTTGTTTTGAAACAAACAGTTGTTGATTTACAGTATGCGGGGCCAAAGGATTTATAAAGATTTGAAATGCCACAAATTGATTCAGTGTCAAAATTAATACAAATGTCAGTTCCCAGTTTAAATAAGTTTCAAGGTGACAATGTGTCAACGCTGCGAAATCGGTTTAGTGCGTTTACATGTCGATAAGTGATTGGAGCGTTTGCAAAACATTTTATTTCGCATAATGCGTCTAAATTTATCAGAAAGCAACTTATGTGATATTTTAATAACAATGTTTATATGACTATTAACCATAATAAGAGAGTAATGACCATTTTACAATTTATATATCACATTAATATGAAACTGCAATAGAGCAATTGTTTGTGATAGAAACCTAGGCATTAGGTCGGGGAATTTTTATCGTGATGACGTGCACGCCACTTTGTTTGGCGTTGACTATATATCTCTGGCTTATATTGGACAACAGTTACTGTTCTATGAACAGATAGATGTCACCGACCATCATTAAAAGGATCACCCATCAATCAGACCGAATACGAGGTAACCTCAAAGCTACGACCAACTGCATACGACGTTTTTTCATGTTTATCAGCAATCGTCAGTACGACATAGGTCCTTTTGGTATGAAGATAGTTAAGTGGGAGCTTTTTGAAATTTATTGTAGGACTGCTCTCACGGGTTTAATATTTCCAGAAAGCTATAGCAATAAATGTATTGACAAACGTGTTGAGATCATTTCTTTGGCACCAGCAAGAGATACAGGGCTGCCAAGTAAATATCTAGACAGAGCACTATGAAAACTATATAAATAGTGGGTTTTAAAAACTTTAAAAAACATTCTTTTAAGCTTTGCGTATATTCGGTAACTATTCATCTCATAAATAAATTGTTGAAAATTTTCTCTAGTACGATTTGTCACATAACAGAAGCAAGTAGGAAATTTCAATCTAATATGTCACAAAATAATTTTTTTTTTCGCAGACGGCCTTGGAACAAAAATATTGTCAAAACCTGATCAAAATGTCACATTCGACACTTACCCTGAGGTTTTCATACGGATGGGACTCCATGTTTCTGTGTTGTTTTTTTGATGTTATATGACATGTACCAAAATAAGCGATCCAAGTTGCACATACCTCACTCATTTTCTGCCCTCCAAATATACCGAATTGCAACGTTGTGTTAGCGCCGAAGACAGTCTAAAAAGCATTATTGCTACTGGAAGATAATGTCCGAGCAATAAATTATAGATACAAGGTACCGCATTCTATGTTATAGGGGCGCGCGGCTTGGTTGGGTTGTCTCTAGAGGCGATAGGCTATTTCATCTGATAAGGTGCAGGCTTAATCAAATTCCCAATATGGTGTGATTCGAAAAACCATGTCACTAATTTCAATCGGTCTGTGTGTCGGTCTGTCCGCTAATCTTATAACCGCCTATAACTTGAGAAGTACCACTTGGATTTCCATGGAATTTTTACACAAAATTACTATACCACGTACGCAAAAGCTTTGGAATTTTTTGAAAATTAGTCCAGTGGCGGCGGAGAAAAAGGCCAAAAAGCAAAATAAAATATCGCTCAAGCTTCGTCTTTTGACGTTTCAGATGATCCTGATCACTTTCGGAGAAATTTTGGTAGGGGTTAAAACATGGTGGTGGGTGGCAAAGAGTGGGAGAGGGTATGTCTCAATTTTTGGACATTAGTATATTTACCCGCCTCCAACCCCAGTATTTCTAATTTACCCTTAAAACTTAGAAGTATCTGCCACTGTCAGGTGTCGATACGCGCGTAGTCGTCCCCCGATGGACAAGCGTCGTCGTCGGTGGTCGTACATCACAGTCGGCAATCGCTTCCATACTACTCTGGGTTGCGAGGACGGAGCATGGTGAAGGCCAATATCGTCATTCACGTGGGATTGGTCATATGCGCCTGCAGCAATTCCTCTCAGCGGGAGGAGAGAGGTCATTTAATTTTTCGTGGCTAACTTTTTTCTCAGAATGGCTAGCCTGTGCCAAGCAGAATCCTTTACGAACTGATGAAAGCGTACCGTGGGAAGTGCACCCAACCCGTTTAACGCCATTTTTGACTGACTTTTCGGCCACCATGTGAGGGTGGACGTCTTTTGAGAGACGTCTTTTGAATGCCTATATCACCAGGCAGTCCTGGGCTTTACTGATTTTGCGCGGTAAAATCTTAAAATTAAAATGATCGCTTCGAGTGATATGACAGATAAATACAAAATATATTGTTATTGGTACTTTGAAAAATGCCATTGTGGTGGCCTAAACGTCAGTAAAAGTAATGTTAACATATGTTCTGATCAAAATTCGTTTTTGGCCGAAATGTTTCTGATACGACAGCGTAAGCGGAAAATGTATAGGGTAAATATTTACGAAAATGAACTTTTTTTAGGTAGAACCACTAAATCATTGGACTATATTATGTATTTCTACTTCGCATTGTCGGCCATTCTGTAATCTATGCCAAATACTGCTTTACCTGTATGTTGCTAGGAACAGCCGTACGTAATGTTGAAAACCCCATCCGGCATAGTAGACAACGACCAGCTAGAAGGCTTCTGTATCGATTTGCTCAAAGAAATCGCCACCATAGTGGGTTTCGAATACAAACTGACTCTAGTACCTGACGGAAAGTACGGTGCTTATGACTACGAAACTGGAGAGTGGAACGGTATGGTCAAGCAACTCATAGAAAAGGTAAGAAGCAACTTTATAGCGTTTGGAAAAAGCTGTTAACAAACTTGGCATGTTTTTGTTTATAACTTTTGAACGACTGAATTGAGTTAACCAGTAATTTCTAGTCAAGCCTGGGTTGCTACTGAATGTATTAGGTGTCTAAAAATAAAATTTTGGGTAAATGTATTTTGAGCACTGGGTTATTTGTCGAAAAAAACTGTTTATAAAGCCGTACCAGCATGTTTGCTTTTTTATTGAAAAAACTCTTTCTGTTCAAAAAGTAACGCTGGTATATTCAGTAATGCACATAAACCCCGTCTCATCAAAGGGTTTTTTGAAAACTATTCGTGTTTTGTCCTTATTGTACCTCATCAGTGGCATAGAAAGTTATAACACCCTGTACCTCTATGTTATTTTTAAATGTATTTTACGCTCTAGAAATATTGACATTGTTTCTGAATTACCTTGTAAATTGTTCTATCAGCATAAAAAGTGCATTTTATCAAGTGAAAATATGAACTTCATCTAAATTCTTATCTTCTAATATGGGTCAAGTAATATACGTATGCAAAATATTTTAAATGTCTTGCTGAACATTTTATAATGATTGTATGTGTTTATAACACAATGCACCTATATCTGCAATGCTCAATTTTTTTAACTCGGTATCCTATGGCTAATTCATAAAAAAACATATTGCTGTAGCTTTAGGTACAAAGATGCCCATACAAAACTTATTCATCAAAATTCATAACATTAACGCTTATTTTCGTATTCTATTTCACCCTGTTTCAGTCTAATGTCAGGAGAGCAAGTGAATGAAAACGCTCAAGACTTTAACAGACTTCCTTGCATCCATGGTAATGAAAGAAATGAAGAAGTTTTGTGCGTTTTGTTCATAATAATTTTAGAACATAGCTGTTAAAGAAATTAAGTCCCTGACGTTCGCTCCCCAATGCGTCGTGCTGAAACTTTTTGTCCCGTTGCTTTATTGACGTCACATCACAGTCGTAACGAATTTTACAAAACTGGCCAGCTTGCAGTAATGAAATATTAAGCTCAATGACGAAAATCAGGTAATAGAGGCAAAGAAGACCATTCTGAAATGTTGAGCCCTTTCGATCATATGAAAATATGTCACATCTATTATCTGGGATATGAACTACTGAACGACAAAATTTGTAATTAATTATGCAGGACATCAAAACTAAAGTTCCATGTGGGACGTAAATAGATACCACTTAATTGTATTTGTTATTATTTGGTCCTTGCGTTCCTTATTTCATTGACTCTTATAATTCTTGGCAATCCAAAACAAGATAATATCAAGCTGAATGACAGCGCAAATCCTATTTAGGATTTAAAAAATATATCGGAAAGTAATTAGGTACTTATACTGAAGTAGTATTACCTATTTGTCTTCAGATGAATATGAACTCTGTAACATTTAAGTTGTTTTTCACAAATTATGGACTACTATTTCTCTGCAAGAACTATGATTGCATGTCTCAAAATATAAAATTTTTTTTTAAGGTCTGTGTAACGTTATCAGAAAATATCTCATAACTAACTTACTAGCTTACAGATGTCCAAAAATGTGTTTCTTTTCAGTTTACATGGTAACAAAGATAAATATCTTAATCGAAGTTGTTGCAACGACCTCAAAAACTAGTAAAGTATTTCTTTCTCAAACTTTTGAAAATTGTCTAACCTCATATTTAAGAAAAAACACAGTTATTTGTTTCTCCCTAAAAACGGAACTATCCTATGTACAATCTATCCAGGACCATTCGTATTTATACTGCGTGTTCCAAATTCTACCCTCACAATTGGGAACTCGGAAAGGGTAAGATATACAAAGTCGCTTAAATGGGAGCAAAGTTGCGTAATTAGGTAACTAACAAAATGACGCTCAGAAAGTAACAAAATTCAAAGTACTTTTTTCCTGGCTTTATTTGTATTGATATTTAGTAGACCACTTGCTACTATTAGAAATGTTACACGACTCGGGAATTAGAGGCAAGGCTCATAACCTCATGAAAAGTTACCTTTCCAACAGAACACTGTGCGTACAAATAAATAATTCCTTAAGCACAAACAAATTGATAACGTATGGTGTCCCACAAGGGACAGTGTTAGGTCCCTTATTATTTACACTTTACATTAATAGCCTGCTGAGCTTAAAATCTGGAGGGACAATCATATGTTTTGCAGACGATACTGCTATCATTTATTCGGATAACAACTCGTAGGAAGATCTAAAAGTGAAGGTTGAAAGAGACTTAACAATAATTGCAGACTGGTTCAGACATAAATGCCTAACTGTTAACTTTCAAAAGAGTATGTTCATGCCATTCACAAATCACAGAAACAAATTACCATCCTCCCAGATTAACTGTGATAATATAAGTACTCAAATAAATTTAACAAACCAAATGAAATATTTAGGTATATATTGAGACTCACATTTAAAGGGGAATATACATATTGATCATGTAATAACCAATTTGAGACCACTATTATTTAAATTCAAGTACCTAAACAAATATTTGGATAAAAAAACAATGAAAATCTTATATCATGCTATGATCGAAAGTCGTATAAGTTATGCAATATTAGGTTGGGGTGGAGCACCTAATAACCAAATTAATAAATTAGAAAGTATAGGCCAAAGATGTCATACTTACCTTTCCAGTACATTATACGAGCCCCTTCCCACTTCAGTTGGCCCACTTCAAGATTTGTACCAAAATATGCCTTTATAAGCTAAACATGACGAAACTATTTACTTCTAAAACAATTTATTTTCTCAAAAACATTTTAGATACACTTTAGTCGTAAAAAATATATATTTGAAATCACTTAGACCTATAACTAATAGAACATCTGAACAAATAAACAATGTGCGAATAAATGCTCGAAGTTAACAAAGCAACAATTGAAAGATTACCATTGGGTAACATCACCTTTATTTTTTATTACTGCTGAAATTCTTTGGGGCATAGTGTTAACCAAGTTTTGGCAAAAATTTGGTATAAAACAGTCCCATATTTCTTGAAGCTTTTGTCTCAGTTCGGTGATTGTACTAGCAGGATGTTGTCGTAGAACATTTTTCAGCTCGTGCCACAAAGTTTCAATAGGTGACAGATCTGGACTGCCAGAAACCCATTTCAAAAGTGGTACATTATTTTCATCCATCCATTTTATAGCCTTTTTTGAGGTATGGCACGCTGCACCATCTTGCTGAAACACAAAATCTTGGCCGGATGTCAAACATTCTTCCATCACTGGTAAAAGCGATTCTTCTAGAATTGCCAAATATTTGTTTGTATCCACATTTCCATCAATAAAATTAAGTTTTCCTACTCCTTTTGATGACATACTGCCCCAAACCATAATGGATGCTGAAAGTTTCACTTTTCTCTTCAGACAGTCAACATGGAATGCTTCATTTTTTTGCGAATAGCTCTACTGCGACTGTCACCAACACAAACTTCGAATCGGGCCTCATCACTCCATTGTATTGCACACCATTATTGAGGTGTCCATTGTCTATGTTCTTTAGCCCATCTAAGCCGATTTTTCTTTTGCAGTAGAGTTAATAGTGGCTTTTCTTTGGCCTATAAACAAGTTGTGCAACTTTAGGGTTTTTACTTCACTTTTTTTATAAGAAAACTTACCTTTCAAGTGCTGAGTCCCAGTTTGTGGGCCTCTCTATGAGTTGTGGACCTCGGAATTCTCCTTCCAACAGCGTCACTCCACAGATCACTTAATTCTAAATAATTGGCACGCCTGTTTTTCACGATTATTTTTCTTAATGCTCTTCAGTCGGCATTTGTGATATTACTTTTTTTCACATATCGTGGCTTAATATTAACTGAACCAGTTATGTTATATCTTCTAACAATATTTCTCACACTGTACCGCGTAAGTCCAACAAAGTTGCAATTTCTGAGTTTGATTTCCCAGAATTAAAAAATTTAATTCATCAGTAACCGAATTTTCTCACTAATAACCTTTCCTCTACTAATTTTGAAAACCTTAACTACCCAAAACATTTTTATTATTTGTGTTTGATAAGAAAAAAACTAAGATTTCAATAGTTGGGCAAACTGAAGTGGGAAGGGGCTCGTATAACATATTACCAAATTATATGAGAAATATTTCAAATAAAACAAAATTCAATATTGAAACCAAAAAAATTATAATTGAAAAAATCGACATCAAATTCAAAACATGATACGTATGAAAGAAATTTAAAATTAATGTAATAATAAAAACCCTTCAACGTTCATATACTCGTATATGTGTGTATGTATATATGTATGTACAGGCGTGTATGTGTGTATGCATATGTGTGTATGTGTATCTATTTATGTGTTTATTTATATGAATATATATATATATATATATATATATATATATGTGTATATTTGTATAAAAATGTAAGTTAATACCCACGCGCAAGAACTTATTCTTCTGTGGGTAAATTCAGTTCATTTTCGTATACCTATGTTAGTTTTAGTTACGTTTGTAGGTCACGTGAATAAACTTATTATTATTATTTAAAAATAAATTACACATTATCGTTGCCATTTTTTCTTTTCTAGAAGATGGCATAATTAGAATTTCAATATGACGTTTCATCTATTGTCCTCAACTTTATTTTTCTTACGGACGCTATATTGGACTTTTGCGAAGATGAATAAAGGTTTCAATTCCAAATTCCAAAGTGTATTACGTGCATATATTGACATTGCCAAACCTCAGTTATTTCAAAAGGACATAATTTCCTAGGTAGGCCTTGAAATTATCATTTTTGTTTCGTATACCAGATTTATCGCGAAATCATTTTTATTTTTCCTGACTTCATTCCAGATCGCTTTTCAAAATGAATAGCAATTGTCGTTGCCACTTTTTGTCCTCTACAAGATGACGAGGTCAAATTTTCAATTCGAGGTTTCGTCTTTCGACTTCCATCACAAGTTTCCTTTTTCCTATGGACGCTACATATATTGGAATTTTGTACATTTAAATACTACGAAGAATAAATATTACTTTTATTAAATATGTGAAGTTTGGCGTGACATAAATAAATATACTATATTCATAACTGAATGCAGATTTCAATAGGGAGTTCATTCGAAAATAAAGAATATTGAGGATCGAGATCGAAAGCAGAAAAGGTTATTTGAGAATTTGACTATGTTCTCTTGAAGAGAAGGAAGAGATGCAAAGTAGGTATGTAATTTATTTTAAAATCTCATTGCAAATAAAACCAGGAAATAAGCAACGATTCAAGTTCAAGTTCTACTTAAAAAATTCTATTTTTTTTTAATCACAAAAGTTTAGCAATGTCCACGTATGACATATTATGTATCTTTGGCATCAGAATTGAGAATTCTATTCATCTATGTAAAAATTCAATATGGCGTCTATAAGAACAAGTGAAGCTGATGCTGGAAGTCAAGAGACGAACCATGATATTGAAATTCTAATTATACCACCTTGTAGAGGAGAAAAAGTGGAAATGTTAATGTGTAATTCCCACTACAAATAAAGTCAGGAAAAATCAAAACGGTTTTAGGAAAATTCGTTTTTTCCTTCTCTCACCGAAAGTACTTTGAATTTCGAAACTTTCTAAGCGGCATCTCGTTGGTCATTTAAGTAAGCAACTTTGTCCCCATTTAAGCCACTTCGTATCTCTTTTCGTTTCCGAGATTCCAATGGTGAGGGTCGAATTTGAAACTCCCGGTATACGGAGTAGATTATCCAATACTTAAGTAGTATATTCAGATGTACCTTAATTTATGCTTGGCTGTAAAAAAAATTAAAATAGAATTAGTCTAGTTTTGGCTTAAGCTGACAACATGCGACTCTGTAAAGTCTCAAGATCCCGCTAAATTATGCATAAAATATCGATCTATATCCAGTAGAGCGCTCAACTAGCCCAATAAATTAAGAGTAAGTGAGAAGAGCACTAAGTTCCTTCTAGTGTTAATTAAATGAACTGTCCGCAGAAAGCCGATTTAGCCGTGGGTTCCATGACCATCAATTACGCCAGAGAGAGCGTCATCGACTTCACCAAGCCCTTCATGAACTTGGGTATTAGCATTCTTTTCAAAGTAAGTACATATTAATTCTCCGTCTAGTCTATAAATATCTAGAAAGTTTAAGGCTGTCCTAGTGCGGGCGATACGTATTAGAAACTGCATCTTCAGCAGTAATTTCATACAACAATTAATAATGTAGTCTTTTAGTGGATCTGTGATACGATGAAAGGTATCCTAAAACTGAAATATCAAGATAGGGCAATGGTAATATAATTTGACTGTCATTGTCTTGGAAATGAGAACAATGGCATCTTTTGTTAGTAAAATGTGTAAAATTAATTCCAAAAAGTTGAAATACTAATATCAATGAAATACCCACATCCTGGGTTGTAAACTCAAGTTTTGCACTGTCCAATCTCTCGCTTTAGCAATTTGAATTGGCAGGCAGACCGTCAGATTTCACAGACTTCTTTCTTTGAGGCTTCTCGGAGTTTCATGTCTACCACAGCAAAAACAGACATGCTAGTGAACGTACAGAACCGCCAATGCCTGGGAATGCCTTCTGGCGGTGAATCCTCAGAAGAATTCGTAGTAACAGCAAATTGACCTAATAAGGAAAGATTCATTGGCGTATTTCAGACGAACAATATCCGTCAGTGTCCAGTGTACATGGTGGTCGGAGCTATTGGAGGAAATATAAGTAGGTAGGTATGAGCCAAAATAGACCAATGAGTCGAAAGGAGAATCGCGATTGACCAGCTCACAGAAAAAGAACCTAACCGCAACAAACCGCAACACTTGTAAGCCTTGAAAGATTAAACTGCCAATTTGAATCCAGATGTTTTGTAAACAATACTTACTTAAAACGAGCACAAATGTGCATGTGACATCTGACCTATATTGTTTTTCAAATTAATGTCATTCAATAATTTTCACATACTCAAATGAAGTATGTCTCCATTCCCAAGATAATGCGAGTCAATTTCATTATGACATTACTTTTGCCCCAACTTGTACATAACTCCGGTAGTATGTAATGGTGACAGGACAACTGGAAGAAATACACACGAAGGTGTCAAATACCACCTATCTTTGAAGATAAATTTGTATCATAAACATTGATGATTGGAATTTAACCATTACATGATTTTTTGGAACTAGATCTAGCATTACATAATTGCTCCAACAAATCAATTGTATAGCACTTACTAAGATTTAATACAAGTATTGAACTCATACTCGTATTATGCGATTTAAGAAAACAGAAACAGAAGTATTTCCAGTAGTAGCTCATGACGTCTAGATTCCTTGTAGCACAATCTAATAAAAATTCATTGATAGAAGCTAGCTAAAATTACCTAATATATTGATAGTACAATTTTCTTTTTGTTTCTACTACGTATCGCCTCTGCTAATAATTACACATAACAACACTAATGCCTGATTCTCGTGTATGTATACGTTTGAATTTTGACCACCAGAAAGTGTGGATTATGGTAAGCATAACTTAGTTGCATCTCATAACAAACTGTACATACACATGAACCCCTTAATATACAGGGTTATTCATAATAAGTAGTCCATTAGAATATATCAGCAAGAACCGTCCTGAAACAGCTGCAAAGAAATGAGCTTGTTTTCCCGTTTTCAAATATTTGGTACTGATATGCCTAAGCAATCTGATTGATTTTTTTAAAAATAATTTATAGAGAATTACTATCAGTTATATTATGAAATTAAACTGGATGTATCCGATTCATTTGACATTTCCAAGTTTGAAAGGAATATTCCTTTGGTAAACGAATTACATACAATTATTCTTAATAAGTACTTGTGAAATGAAGTCTATTGGGTTGGACTGTATCCTAATGAATTGCCAAATGTCTTCTTCAGGTGGCTGCTACAAGTGAAATCTGTATTTGCAGTGGTTATGAATTTTGAACTTATTAGCAATAAAGAAACATTATAATGGAATAACTAATAATAATGAACGTTTCATCAAATTCTTTAACTAATTACTTCTTAGGCTCAGCAATAATTATCAGTTGCCCAAAATGCCTCTGTTGTGGAAAAATCATCAGTAAGTTCAGTTTAGATCGCCATTTCAATCTACGTTGTTCCTGACTACTTTATACCAATACCTAATGAGTATCTAAGGAATGAGTTAAAAAATTTGTTCTTTTAAATGTTAATTTAAATATAACTACATATTGAATGGCCCTGTTTGCATGGATCGCTAGCGGGATACCTGCCGTAGTAGCATTTCTTAGATATCCAAACACTTTAAAAAAAGACTGTAATTATATCCGCTAGATGCAGAAAAAGAAATCATTTTTCATGTTAAGGCCAATAATCTTAGGCGGCGATCTTCACGGTCTGTTGTTCTACGGCGGCGTCCAGTGCCCCTTGCTCTTTGCGTACGGCCTTCTCGAAGCCATGCCTGACAACACCTAACCAAAGTGTCTACACTTCTTTGCACTCTAACTGCAATTGCCCGAAAAGAAAGTCCAGCTTCCCGAAGTCCCACTATACGGCCCCTATCAAACTCACTAAGTTGACGAAATCGTACAGGTCTCCGTACTCTAGGCATCGTAGCCGATCGTAAAGGATGTCAAGAACCAAAATCCGCCAACGTTGATTCTTTACTGCGGCTGAAATATTCATTTTTAGAGCGTTAGTGAATTAAAAAAAACAGTATAAAAACCGGAATGTCCAACTGATAAGGCTGAAAATTTTATCACTTGTTATTTACAGTAAGATAAATACATTCACCTTCTTTTATTAAAATAAAACCATTTAAACTTGGTGTTCGGATTTATATGTCACTTAGTATATGTGAATTGACCTAAACATACCTTAGTCCAAGAGTTGAGTTTGCGAGATACAGACTTGTCAAAGTTACAATTTTATCTTCTATTTTTCCTGATTGCTTGAGAAGTATTTCAAATTTTGACAATTTTTCAATTTTGTAGTGAGGTATGAGACAAGAATCCGTTATTTTTTATGGCCAAACTTACAGCACTATTTCGGTAAAGAATTCATCATAACTTTTTTGTGCTAACCTGTATACAAAAACCGACCAAAAAATCTTATTTTCTCTAATCTCCTCAACAAAAATGTTTACTTGTTAGTAGTGTCTAAAGCTAATAGTTTTCGAGATATTTGTTTTTAAAAGTTCCAATGCATTATTTGTACCTTGATGATAAAACATTTTTATAACATAATAATCAAGTCGCTTTGAATAATATCTGAGTAGCGTTGCTATGGTTTTTAACAATAACAAATGGCAATAAAACTAATAAACTGAAATAATAACTACAAAAATTGTTCAAAACGAGCACCACCTTGCCCAACGCGCAAATAATCCTTGCTGAACTCTCCAAAGCATTTGGATGTTACTTTTCATTTCCTGGCTATGATGGAATCTTTCTCGAAGATCATCTACAGTTTCCACTGGCGTATTGTAAACGCGTTGTTTTAAATCACCCCAGAAGAAGAAATCCATCGGATTTAAATTTGGTGATCTAGCTGGCCACGATACAGGTCCTCACCGACCTATCCACTGGTCTGGATAAGCTCTATTTCGATGCTTCTAACTAATATACTAAAATGATGGATCGCCGTGGTGCGTAAACCACATATTCATGCGAATTTGTAATGGAACACCTTCCAGCAGAGTGGGTAATTGTTCTTCAAGAAATTGTAAATAACTTTGGTCTAGGTAAGAACTCAACGTACAAACATAAATTAATTTGAAATTGTACTTGGTGGCGAGTTTGTATTATTGCATGAGGATTTTCGTCTGCATAAATGTGAAGATTATGCCAGTTAATGGGAAGATCCTTTCCAAATCCGGCTTCGTCCGAAAATAAAATTAACCATTGCGGGGTCATCATCCGCGCTTAAAAACCATATACTTTTTGCAGGTGGTATGGATGGAGCAGTTGCTCTTGAAATATGGTATTTTCTGTACATTTGGAAACTTGAAATTCTCGATCTACATTCCTAACCCCAACTATAGGATTTCCAAAGACAGCATCTAAAATATTTTCTCCAACTTCAGCTGTCCGTACAGTTCTCGGAGCTCCAACATGTCGGCTCATATTTTGAACAAAGCTACGTAAAATCCAAATGGTTTTTACTACCCAAAATAAGGCTATAATCATTTGTTACCAGTTTCTCGTAACCGCTGATCGATTCGTTGGAAAGTCTTTGAATTAGGCAGATGTCTATTAGGGAATCTGTCACCGTACAATCTGCGTGCTTTTGAAGCATTACATCTTGCCAATCCGTACATTAAATACATATCAGAATGTTCATCAAACGTATATTCCATGATGTTTAACAACTCATTGTCAACTTAAAATTATTCATGAAGTTTAAAACAATATTATGACAAATATTAGAAACCATAGCAACGCTACTCAGATATTATCCAAAGCAACTTGATTTTTTAGTCAGTTGTTGTATACAGGGTAGCACAAAAAAGTTATGATAAGTTATTTACTGAAATAGTGCTGTAAAAGGCGCCCTCTAGAAGTTTGGGCATAAAAAATAATGGATTCTTGTTTCTAATACTAGAAAACCTTCCTATACCGATTTCAATGAGTAACTCTAAGATACTTCGCAAGCAATAAGGAAATATAGAAAATAAAATTGTAACTTTGACACCCTGTATCTCGCAAACTATCAACTATGGGACTAAGGTATGTTTATGTCAACATATTTTGGTCTGTAGTATCTCCAGTTTCAAGATTTCCCAACCTTTCGCAGACACCCTGTAAAGTATAGTAATTTATTGGAACCACAACAGAAACCTCATACCTTAAATAAAATATCAAAGAAGCAGCTCTTTTTGAAGCACGTTTCATTAAAAATCCGTCAAACCAAAGGAATCGTCAGATCTTAAAGTCGCAAGTCTAAGACAAGCCGATGCAAAATCGTTTAAGTCGGCTATTTCATGAGAAAGGATATTCGTATTGTCGAGTATTGAGTGGTGAGCCGCATTAGATAATGAAAACGTTGACTAATGTATCATCCCAGTAATCGATCTGAAGATAACCAACCATATCATATATTCCGGCGTC